GCACCACACAATTCCACTGTTCTCGTTTCCCCGACCCCTCTCCAATACTGCCTGAGCCGCTGCCTCCCACCCAGTGTGCCCACCTGGCCCGCCACAAGGGAGTCCTAGCAGTCCAGGGCAGTCCCAGGTGAGTGACCACCAGGACTTTACCACCGCGCTGGGGTCCTCATTGCCCACTGGCTGCTGCATAATCCAACCCCAGAAGCACAGCACCTTTCGAATTTGCTTCCTGGAACCACTCCACTCCTGGAACCAGTGGTCTTAAGTTGGCTGCCTAAAAGCAGAGTCTGAGACGGTTGGGGACAGGTAATTTACGGAGGGGTGCTCTTTATGAATAAATCTGTGAGGAAGGGAGGAACCCAGACTAGGGGAGGAGAAAGAGCCAAACGCCGGGCTGAATCTCAGTTTCAGCCCAGCCAGAGCCTCACTAGGAAGACCCTGGAGCAACAAGCCACGCTGTGGTTGTCCCGCTTTAAAGCCAGGGGGTTGTACTCCTACTGCCGCCTCAGTGAGTCATTGGCTGTGAACCGATGCAGAGCGGGCACGACTTCCTGATAAGGTGCCTTTGGGCAGCTGAGGGCACCTCTCTGGAGTAGGGGACAGCTGTGAGCACTTAGCAGCCAGCGTTCTCGGCAGCTCACGCGGTTGGGCCCAGTGAAGGGAGTTGGGCAAGCGTCACGGTGTGAGAATGAAAAATGCCTGTACCCTTGACCCAACAATCCCTCTTTCAGGGGATGCTCTGGATGCCCCCACCCATGGGGAATCGTGTTTATTTAGATGGGAATGGCAGTGATCGCAAAAGCCTAGAAAAAAGCCCAGAGACTCAAATTTTCACAGAGTATTCTTCTACCTTTTAAGTTTTGAACCATGTGCATCTGTTATATAATCAAATAAAGATAAAATAATTCAGTCTTAAACAATTCTGGATCTGCTGTTACTCACTAGATAAGTGATGCTGGGCCTTAGCCTCGGTTTCCTTATCTGTAAAGTGTAGACGACAGGGCCTTCACTTCCTAGAATTGCAGATATTGAGCAGGGTAATACGTAGAATTCATTTAGTATAATGTCTACCTGCTAAGTAATCATTAACTGTCAGCTGGAGCTATTAATATTATCATCTATATTATTATGGTTTATTGCCTCGCAGGGTAGTTTTGAGAATGAACTAAAATAATGCACGTATTTTATACATCAGCACAGTGCCTGGACATAAGGGGTGTGTGTGTTTATTTTTAACACGGGGCAAATATATATATGTACGTATGTATTTTTTAAGGGAATTAAGATCATGTTCTACATACTGTTTGGCAACCTGATTATCATCCTTAAGACATCTTAAGCATTTTTCCTCTAACATTAATTATCAGGAACATTGCACAGTGATGGTGGTAGAGCAGCAAGGCACCCTGGGGCAGATGAGGGTCTGTAACAGCGGTGCAGACGGGCTGGGCAGTGCCGTCTGCCTGTCTTAGCATCACGAAGTGGTGGGATGTCCACTGTCACTTGGTGGCCCTGAGCCATCAGACAGGCCACTTCAACTCTCTGAGCCTTCCTACCTGAAGTATTCTCCTGAGGATTAGAAATAATTTAAAGTGACAAATCCTGGGAGAAGGGGCTCAACAAATAAATATTAATTGTTCCCGATGTTTTGAATTAATCCAGTGGTGTCCATGATGAGGTGTGTGCACCAAGATCCATTGGGGGCAGAAGAAAATGTCAGAACTGGAGTTTCTATTTATTTTTAATCTCACTCTTTTACAGTCTCTGTTTTGTGTGTACATTTTCAAATATATTAATACAGTAGCGCTTTTTTAATAAGATAAAAATTTATAACTCAAAAGTACATGCTTATATTCTTTTTACTGGTAAGAATGTACAAAATTGTATCTAATAGGGCTTTATTTCCATCTGGTGGTTAGTTGTGTGGTATGAATTCCTCCTGTAGAGTAGATAGATCTGACCTGACTTGGAACCTTAGTCTCAAAAGGAAAAGCAGTAGCTTGCCAATCTCACACTGCACGATAGTTTAGTCCTAGGATATCTAGAAAGGCTTGCTCAAATAATAATAGTAACAGTAGGAATAATAACATCACATCGTATTCTACAAAGCTTTCTCGTGCCTCATAAATAATATAGAAACAAGCTTAGGCAATAGAATAATTATGATTATAATCAATAGATATAATAATAGATAATTACGAATAATGATTTTCAAATGCAGCTGCTTCACATGGAATCACAAAAGCATGAACCATGGTATTATACATTTACAAGGGAAAGAGAAAGTTGAGGTTTTAGTAGAGCAGGAAAACACCAGCTTTAAAAATGAATTCTGAAACCATGAGAAGTTCAACTTCCCTAGTAATCAGGAATGATTACTGAATGCAGATTAGCTGCAAATGCAAAGTACAACTTCTTGCCCATCATCTGGGGCAGAAATGTTTAGTCTGATGATTATCCAGGGTTGGTGAAGATGTGGGAGTGCTCTGGGGCAGCAGTATAACTCGGTGCAACCACTTTGGAGGACAGTTTGGCAGCATTCTCAAGAGATAAAAATGTTCATGCTGTTCACTGTCACTAGATCTGCCCTCAGGAAACACTCTTACACAAAGAGGCGAGAGCCAGCATGTTCATTGCAGGACCGCTGTTAACAGCAAACGGTTGGAGACAGCTATCATTTGCGGAATGGTTAAAAAAATTGTGACTTTTTAAAAAAAAATTAAAGTATAATTCACATACCATAAACTTCACAGTTTTAAGGTGTACAATTCAGTGCTTTTCAGTATATTCACAGGACTCTGCAACCATCACCACTATCTAATTACAGAACATTTTCATCACTGCAAAAAGAAACCTCTACCTGTTTTTTTTTTTTTGAAACCTCTACCTATTAGCAGTCACTCCCCATTCCCTCCTTCCCCCCTCCCTTGGCAACCACCAACCTACTTCCTGTCTCCGTAGACTTGCCTATTCCATACATTTTGTATAAATGGAATTGGACAATCTGCGGCCTTTTTTTATAACATTTATTGAGATATAATTCATATATGATACAAGTTACCCATTTTAAATGTACTATTCAGTGGGTTTTAGTATATTCACAGAGTTGTACAACTATCACAACAGTCGATTTTAGAAAATTTTCATCACCCCAAAAAGGAACCCCATTCCCTTTAGCTATCACCCCCAAACCCCTCCTCCCCAGTCCAAGGCAACCATTTCTGTCTCTGTAGATTTGCCCCTCCTGCATGTTTTGTACAAACGGGTCACAAAATATGTGTCTTTTGTGCCTGGCTCCTTTCACTTAACACGTTTTCAAGATTCATCCACGTTGTGGCATAGATCAGTGCCCCGTTTTTTTTAATTGCCAGATATTATTCCATTGTGTGAATGTACACTTTGTTTCTCCATTCATCAGTTGATGAACATTTGCGTTGCTCCCGCCTTTGGACTACTGTGAATAATGCTGCTAATGAACCCCCGTGTACAAATTTCTGTTACGAGCATTTGTTTTCTGTGCTGGGTCATATGGTAACTCTGTTTTACTTTTTCAGGAACTGCTGAACAGTTTTCTCACAGTGACCACACCATTGTACATTCCCACCAGCAATGTATGAATGAGGGCTCCTGTTTCTCCATACCCTTGCCCCGCTTGCTTTCCTGTCTTTGTATGCTAGCCATCCTAGGGAGTGTGAAGAGCTATCTCATTGTGGTTTTGATTTGCATTCCCCTAATGATGTTAAGCATCTTTTCATGTGCTTGTTGGCCATTTGTATATCTTCTTTGGGGAAATATCTATTCAATGTGTGGCATTTTTATGCTATGCTGCAGAGCTGTTCAAAGGAATGAGGCAGATCTATATGTAATAATCCCTGAGTGCATCTCCCAAGATTTAACACTGAGCAAAATAGCAAGTAGTAGAATGATGCATTACAGTACTGTAAATTTTATATAAACACACACTCAGGACTGTGTGGTTAAATATAAACATGTAAGAGGATAGAGAATGATCTGGTAGAATATTTCCCAAACTTATCAAGATGGTTGGTAACCCCGGGGGCAGGAAGAGAAAGAACTAAGGTGGGAGTGGGGGGTGGGATCTCATCAAAAGGGACTTTTGTCTTATTTATAACATTTTACAAAGTATTTATGAGCTATTTGATTAATAAAAAATTGTATTAAAAAGTCCTTAAAATGTATACACCATTTGAAAAGATAAGAAAGAAGCAACTGGGGAACCCTCTCTGGAGAGGTTAGAATCAGTGCTTTCATGCCACCTGGCAAGTGAATGGACAACTTCTTTCCCGAAAATAGGTTCATTGACTCTTTACAGCCCAAATCTATTTTGTCTTGGTCTCTTTTTCAAAGTAATTTTATTATTGTTTTAATAATATGTAACAGTTCAAATAGTACAGAGGTTTATAAAGTTAAACTTATCTCCTCTTCTCACCTGAAACGCCCTTCCCCACAGAAGTGGGCACTTCATTTTCCTGATAAACTTCTCTCTTCTAGTATCATCTCCTCGCCCCACCCAACAAAGTGTTTCTTCGGCTTTCTGCCTTTCTGGCTTTCTGTTGATGGGGAGAAGCTCCTTCCTCTGTAGTGGGGAGGGAAGGCTTTGTCTTTAAGAGTCTATGACTGTGGTCTTCAGGCTTGCTTTGTATTACCCCCTACCAGAGATTGTGATTTAGTAGGTCTGGAGTGCTGCTCGGGTGTCTTTATTTTTATGAAAAGCTCCCATGGTGATTCTGGTGAGTCAACAGGGTTAAAAATCATTTATCTAGTGAGTAACAGAGCCATCATAAACTGTCCTCGTGATGCTTCTTTGAGAATTATTTTTGGTAGGTTCTTTATGAGAGAGTAATGAGCCTGTCAGCCTTAAGGAAACATGCCTGAACTCAGATGGTCTGTTTTGTTCCAGGAATTTCACAGAATTTTTACTTTAGGTTATTTTTAGCATTGAGGTTTTATCTCTAACTGAAGACTGCATAGAGCTGCCATCTGAATCTAAGAAAGCGATCTTGGATTCTTTTTTGAAAATGGTAAGATTATGCAGTATAGGGCAAACTTAGCACGTGGGCTTTCTGTCATTTCACATTGAAGATGGGCAGATGTAGCAACACTGACAGGTGTTAAATCTTCTGTGCCCAGCAGACTATCCTTGGGTCTTGTTTTGTCAAGCTTTTTGTTTCCTAGATGCACCCTGCCCCATTGTTGTTGACTTTATTATCGTATGCTTGCCTGAGATGCGACTCAGAACTTCACGTTGGTTTCCATTATTAGGTTTTCAGACATAAAACTTGCAGAAATCCATAAAAGCCATTTAAAGACATAATAGTTTCTCTGGAATAATAAACCTGAGTCATCTTTCTCATATCTTAAATTATGTTCAATTTTATATTTTCTCTTCTAGGTATTCTCATGGGAGCAGTTATAAAAATTATAGAGTTCAAAAAATTGGCAAATTGGAAGGTAGGTTTGCCCACCTGTTGATTTTTTAACATACTTAAAATTTTTATTGATTGTCCTTAATTTTATAACACTGATGGTTAGTTATGGCGGCTTATCATTACTTGACTATCAGTGAAGTTTATATTGTCCCATTAATTTTTTAACATTCTACTGGATTAGGGTTGATATCTTTACATCTGACTTTTTGAAAAAACGTAAGTCTCACACTGCTTCAAGTTAACATGGGAGCACTCAGTGTCATGTTTTGTTATTTATTTGAATTTGTATAATCTTAGAATAACCTGCTGCTGTCTAGGGGAAGTCTCTAATTAGCATTAAACGTCAATCAGTGGTTATTGCTGACAGCTGAAGATAAAACGGATTTGTCCAGCACCGTAGAGCCTACAGAATGCTTTCTACACTGTAGCTCATGTTGTCCTCATGAAAACCACATGAGGTAGATTGACCACATATTATCATCACTGTGTTTTTACAGATGAAGAAAGTGACCACAGAGAGGTTGAGACATGTCCAACATCACAGAGCTAGGAAGTGGCTGAGTTGAGCCTTAGGGCCAGATGCGCTGGCCCTGTGTATTCTGTATTCTTTCTACCATACCATGCTGTCCTCAGTGTGTGGGTGTTCATACCCTCGTGTTCATATAGTACTCCGCATGTGGGCATCATCTTGTGGTACAAGGACTAACTGAAACTCGAATTTCAACTTAAACTTGTGCATCCTTGGGGCGCCTGGGTGGCTCAGTCGTTGAGCGTCTGCCTTCGGCTCAGGTCATGATCCCAGGGTCCTGGGAT